TTTCCATAAGAGTGGGCAAGGCCATTTGTGAATTTAATGTGTCTGGCTTCCAGTGTCATCTGTTTCCAATTCTTTTTAGTTGTACAAAACAGCTCGTTTTGCGGCTTGATATTTTAAACTGGTGTGTCTTTACATATTATTTTAATGTATTATCTTAATTATGAACATACTGGTTTGTAGTGCAAACCGTACCGTTTACTGCACGTTGTTATTTTTCTCGTTATTTCCCTACAGTGGCTAATGAACCGGAGGTCTCACACATTTACAGAAAACGGCTCACTTCCACGTTGAAAAATAAGGTGGATATTATGTCAGACTGATTAGAACATTGGTTTCGAAACCTTTCAAATTTTGGTTATATGGGCCATTCTACAGAATTGGTGCAAACTGCTGTCCTACAACCAAAAAACACATTTAAAAAGCATTTTAAAAAGTATTCAAATCTTAGATGTTTATTAAGATCCTTCTATTATCTATTGAAACCCACAATAATATTTAAAATATTAGTAAGCTTAATATATATAAAATCATCATTTATTGGGTGCTTTCAATTGGGAGGTGGCTGTTCAGAACCAACCCCTAAATTTCAACTCATAAAAATGATACTGAAATCATTTTTGTATTTTTTTTTTCCATTGTTGTTTTTAAAAGTATCTTTTGATTCTTGCTATACTGATTTTAACTGAACCCATACATTTATGATCCTGTGTCCCCCTCTCTCATAGCTACAAGGTGTGAGTAGATAGGTCCCATCATTTTGAGGTAAATGTGTTCAAAAGTCTGAAAAATCTGTGTGTAACTTTGAGGAACGTCACTACCGAACACCTTTTTTCTGCAATTAAGCACACTTTTTTGGGAGTTATTCCATAAAGGTAGTGACATCTTTGTTTTTGGGGGTGTTATCCTATAGAATTGTCACTACCGAAACAGTCACTACTGAAACATTAACATTGTTTCGGTAGTGACAAAAGTGAACACATAATCCTCATGGGGAAACAAAATTTTAGTACAGTTTTGCTATTTTTATTTTTTTTTGTATTTTAGTATGTTTTAGTAGTATTTTAGTATGCGAGTTAAAATTCTGTAATGTGATGTGGTTGCTACCAATTACTGTCACTACTGAAAATGTGCTGTCACTACTGAAACATGGGATGTTTTTTAAAGGAGTCATATGATGCGATTTCAAGTTTTCCTTTCTCTTTGGAGTGTTACAAGCTGTTCGTGAATAGATAAGATCCCTAAAGTTGCAAAGACTAAAGTCTCAAACCCAAAGAGAAATTCTTTATAAAAGTTAAGACTGGTCCACGCCCTCCTAAAACGCCAAATACACAAAATAATGTTCTTTTTTAGCAACGTCATATGACCCCTTTAAAAATAAAGTATACTGAATTATCAAGTAATACGTTTTTGTTTCATTGTATATTCAAACTAATGAATCCTTAACTTTTGTCAATAACCCTTCTAATTACTATTACTGTGTTTCAGTAGTGACAAATTTGGGGAGAGGACAAATATTCCCAAACTTTCTGAAAATACAATATGAGAATTAACTGCAGAATTACTAGAAATGTGTACCTTGGATATTATACAATTTGCATACAAACAAATTATTTGAAAAAAAAATACATTTTTTCCAAGACGTTTCTGACTCTGACTTTGGGCCAGTTCTGTAGAATGGCCCACTTGATATTCAGTAAAACAAAGTGAACCCCTGAACCACTGCTAATGGTTTTGATCTCGGTTCAGTTTTCATGAATTTTAATACAAGGAAATAATATAGAAAGAAAAATAGTCCTTAATTGTTCCTAATTGGCCTAGTTTGATAAGTCCCGACTAAGAACACAAAACCGCTACATGTAAATTAAAACATTTATTACATATCTTTCACATTAAATGGTATTATTTGTAGATTAAATGTAAAGGGGTCATATGATGCTTTTTTAAAGATCATTATTTTGTGTATTTGGTGTAACAGAATATGTTGACATGCTTTAATGTTCAAAAAACACATTATTTTTCAAATACTGTACATTATTGTAGGTCCTCTATGCCCCGCCTCTCTCAAACGCGGAAAACTTGAAATCGCATCATATGACCCCTTTAAAGTCTGCGAGAACCGGAAGTTGCTTTACACGTTGAGCTGTGTTCCCGTTGCATTTACAACATCTTGACCAGTAGTGTCGCGGTGTTTTGAGCGCTTCAAAAAACTGAATCATTTTGAGGTGCAACTGCTTCGAAAAGCTTTGTTTCTCCTATATCACTACTTACAAGAACTGTAGCATCTAGAGTGCAAACACTGCCCCATAGTCATAGCCAATGCAGCACCTAAAATACTAGCAGCATGGGGACTTTACACCAGTCGTTTTATCATCTGTTGTTGTTTTTTTGTTTTTTTTTGTTTTGCATTTCAAGCATCATAACAGAACAAAATAGGCTAACATAAACACAACTGTAAGTCCTCACAGACTGAGACATTCATATTAATCATACTATAACAGAGAAATAAACCATCATACAAGACATTAATCCAAATAAAATAAAATAAAATATACTCATGCAACCATAAACAATGTAGGGGATTAAACGAAGTCATACTTTTTAAACAAATCAAATAATTTCTTGGCTTTATCACTTCTCATAATTTTCAGGACCTCTGTATACATGGCAAGCTCCTTTGGGGATTAAACAAAGTCATACTTATTAAACAAATCAAATAATTTCTTGGCTTTATCACTTCTCATAATTTTCAGGACCTCTGTATACATGGCAAGCTCCTTTTTAAAGACATTCAACTGGGGTGCTGTTTTCAGAATTTTACATTTGTGAATGAAGTATTTTAATATGAGGAGTTTTATCATCTGTTGTTTTGTGATGCATTGATCACACTTTGAAATATTAAAAACACAAACACCGCTCCCTAGAGGTTAAACTGTGAAGTGTAACTGCAACAGGTTATTCAGTTACACTTGAAATGTAGACAGATTCATTGGACCATCAGTTCTTCACTACTGACATTGTAGAGAGAAAAATACCCCTTTCTTTGTGGCTCAGGCACTTAGCCTAGTTCTGATTGTAGTCGTTTCTCATGCTCTCTCTACTTAAAACACTATAGCAAACAAAAAATGGATAATTGTGTCTTTCATATGTTACACATTACCACATTGGTCTCCATTCGTTTCTCATAATATCAACAAAAGGAAGTATGTTACTCTGGAGATCTTTCCATTATCATTAAATGATCAATACAACCAAACTTGAAACTCTTATCATAGATTAATCACACTCATGTCATTCCAAACCCACATGCACATATGTCTCAGACTTACAGACCTCACTATGTTGTATAACACATATTAAAGCCATTTACATTTTTATGCTATAAACTGGAAAACACAGTCACATATCACACTTTCAGCACAGGCTGTAGGTAATGCTCTGTAATCTGGGCTGTAATCTCTGCTTTGACTAATTGTAGTGAGCTCTCTATTCTCTTGAATTAGCCCTGATACATGAAAGACCATCAGCCCAAAACACATTGTATTGCTTAGACACCTCACACTGCAATAACACACAGGCAAACATGCAATACAAACCATTCATAAATGTCAACAATTCCTTAGCACCTGTAATAAAACTTGTAAATAAAATTCTCCTGTATAACAAAGTTTTATTTCTCACAAAAAAAACTCAAAGGCATCATTCAGACAAATTTGACAATTCTGCCAAATCATTTCCTCACTTAATTAATGACGCAAGTAAATGATGACAGTATTTTCAGTTTTTACTGAAAGTGAACTATACCCTTTAACTGATACAATTTTAAATACAGTAAATAATGTAAAAAATACATACAAATGTCCATTATTGCAACAATAACTGTTGGAAGGATTTGACGTACACTCATTAAAAAGATAAATAGGAGAAATTGCAGAGCTCAATTTGGAAGCTGCAGGAAAGGAAGCCCCTAATTTCAGTTAAAAAAGCCAATCACCTTTTTGATAGAGGCATCGTTTTTATCCTGTGATTCAAGCTTATGAACCAGATCTGTGATAACATTGCGGTCATATTTTTCTACTTATTTAAAATATGTCTTTTTGATTTTGGTCAATCTTCAAGTATGTAGAAGCTGTACTTGTATAACTATTACCTACATAGAAAATAGCTGCCCAGATGCTTCCAAGATGGTCACCAAGTGAGCTTACTTGTCTTAAAAATAATTAAAATTAGCAGTCTGATTTGTCTCAATACAGAAGAGCTTGAAATCTCTAACAAGCAGTGAAAGTTTAAAAGGTAATGTACTAAGAGGGTAATACAAGATTAACGGTCTGTGATTCAAGTAACTTTCAGGATTAATGCATTAGGGATCTTTTTCTTTGAACACCAAAGATTGATTGTCTGAGAGACGGGCCACAGATAAGATTAGAAGGCACTAACAAAACATTTCAATCAATTACAAGCATATTGTCTGTGACCAAGATCCCGTTCTATGACAGAAAATTGTCTTTAACCAAAAAAAAAAAAAAAAGGAACAAAAATAAGAAGGAAGCCATTTTAATTTGCGA